ACCCCTTCCCCTCGGCCCTCCAGGTCGTCGTTCCGCCTCTGGCGTGTGAAACTCCACCTCCCTAGCCTCTGCTGACAGGGATTGGTGGACCTCCCGCGGCGGTGCCTTGTGATTGGTCCCCGTGGATGATGGTGACCGGGGAGACCCCGCCCCTCGCAGGAGCTGGGGTCTGGGAGCTCAGCTCCGCGGCGCTGGGGCTGGCGCGGCTCGAGCCGCCGCCGCACTGACAGCTCCGTCTGTGGACCATGGAGACCGGCGCCGGCCCCCACCCGCTGCGCCTCTTCGCCTGCCTGATGCCGCTCTGTCTCGCGCTGCTTGTAGGGCCCGGGCGGCCCGGGACCGCCGAGGAAGGTGAGAAGACCGGTGGCTGTCCCCGGAGCCTGGGTGCCAATCCAGAGGGAGCCGGAGGACCCCGGGGTGCGGGGGTGCTGGGAGGAGTCGCTGGAAGAACTGGAGTCTATATGTGAGATTTGGAACCAGAGGGCAGCGAGAGGCGAAGAACTAGGGAGACAGAAGGTGGCTAAGCAGGGGGATAGCGAGGGGCTCTGAAAGCCGTGGGGTTGGAGAAAGGCCGGGAAGAAAGAGACAGGGGCCGCGGGAGACCGAGGCTGCGGTTCTGGGGCCGGTGAGACGGACAGGCTGAGCGATGGCAAGTGGGAGGTGTGGGGGCGGGGAGATGAAGGGAGCAGAGACGGGGAGATGCGGAGGTGAGATTGGAATGTGGAGGAACGAGATGGAGATGGACAAGAGACGACCACTGTATAGCAAACAGGAGGTGGAGCCCTGGTCTAGGGGGCTGGGGCCGGGAGCTGCCCGCGGTGCTGCCCGGGGAGCTGTCCGCAGTGCTGAATCCGGAGCGCGGAGCAGCCGGACCGGGGCTGGGCTACCCGCCACAGCGGAGCCCGTGTCTTTCCTCGCATGCCGAATCCGGGGGAATCTACGCGTTCAAATGAATCCGATGCAGGCGCGTTTGTCAGAGCTGAATTCCGAGGCGCTGGAATCGGAGGCGTTGACCACAGGGTTGGTCGGGCCCCTAGATCTCTGATGCCTTCCAGCAGGCAATTCGGATGTGCGCTCAGTTGTGTTGAAATCCGACAGGGCTGCAGTCTTGGCCGCCAGGGCTGACGTCTCTGAGGCCAGCCCCCTCTGAGGGGTCCTCGGATTGGCAGCCCACCGCCTTGCTTAGGCTCCAGATGAGTAGCCTTCCTTGATGCGGGATGGCCCTGGGCTGCCAGTGGTACTACCCTAACCATTGCTTCTCTGTGGCCAGCACAGAGAGAAGCATGCTGATTGCCCATCAGTGCATCCTGAGGAAATAAAGTGGCTTGAAGACGCTTTGGTGCGGGAGGCACCATGGCTTCATGCCCACACAAAAAGATCTCTGGCATTTGCCTAAGGTGACAGCCCCTGGGAAAGTGCCTAGTGAGATGAGAGATTTTTTTGTCTCTACTGTGGCTAGAAGGGTCTCTCCGATTTGCTTTCCCCCAGAGACCCCAGGAGTGAAATGAAAAAAAAAAAAAAGGTTCAAGCTTCCTCCATCCCTGGTGATCCCAGACCTCAGAAGAGCTTCTGAGTCTGAGTGCATTTGGGGGTGTCTGCAAGGAATCCCCTCATGCATTCACATTTTGCTTCCTCTCGTTGACACTCAGGCATCGTTTAGGGAAACTGGGAAGGCAGAAGATCACTGACCGATTTTAGAAGCAGTCTTAGCGTGTTGTATGGTTGGTGGAATGACGCCCTCCCCAAATCGGTCCCTAACCTTAGGAACCTGTAAACCTTACCTTTAATGGGGGAAAGGTCTTTGCAGAGTGATTAAGGATCTTGAGATGGGGAGGCCTCCCTGCCATATCTGGGTGAGCCCAACGCAAACACACTGGCGTTTCTCTGAGGTAAACTGGACGCGGTGATGTGGTGACAGAAGCAGAGATCAGAATGATGTCTGAAGATGGAGGGAAGGCCAGAAGCCGGAAAAGACTAGGATATTTCTTTTCCCCCCAGAGGCCGCCAAGAGAACCAGCGTTCTGACACGTTGGATTTTAGTCCAATGTGAAATGCTTTCAGGCTTTCCATATCCAGAACCATAAGATAAGAGATTTCTACTCCTTGATAAGGAGCCTTGGTGGTGATGTCGGTTAAGCTCTGGACTGCTAATTGCAAAGTGGGTGGTTCCAACCCACTGGCCCCACTGCTGTCACCTCTCGTGATGGTTTACAAAGTCCCCGGAACCCTATATGGGGCCACCATGAATCTAAATTGATTCAAGGGCAGTGGTTCCCTTGGCATTGCTTTAAGCCACAAAGTTTGTAGTCATTTCTAACAATGTCACAGGAAACAGATGTAGGCTATTGATTTCATTATTGGGACTGCCTCTCGCTGGACTTTAGCAACTCCCTCTTGCCCCACCTCCACCCTGGGATTTATGGAATGGGTCAAACTCGAGTGTGTTCTTCACCACACCCTCCATCTCCTCAGTTAACAGCTTTGCCAGGAGCTCACCAAAGGGTCTTCCTCTCTCTCCTGCTAAACTGACTCTCTGTCTCGTCTGACCTCTCCCTTCTCTCTCTAGTCATCCTCCTGGATTCTAAAGCGTCCCAGGCTGAGCTGGGCTGGACTGCACTGCCCAGTAATGGGGTAAGTGTAAAGCTGTCTCTCTCTGTCCCAGAAACCCTTTAGCGGGGAAGGCCTCAGTCTTGAGGTGGGGGATCTCCATGGGCATTTCAGATCAAAGTCCTCATCAGAATGTGTGGTTCTCCAGCAGCCTGGCTTCAAGCCAGGGTCGTCAATCAGAAAATATTAAATCTTCAGCCAATAAAGCTTTTTTTTTTTAGTGAGAACTGGCTGTGTCTATTGTTGTTAGGAGCCATCAAGTCAGCTCTGACCCATAGCGACCCTGTGCACAGCACAACAAAACACTGCCCGGCCGTGCACCAGCCTCACACTTGTTCCTATGCCTGAGCCCATTGGTGCAGCCACTGTGTTAATCCATCTCGTCAAGGGCCTTCCTCATCCACTTTACCACACATGATGTCCTTCTCCAGGGACTGGTCTCTCCTGACAGTATGTCCAAAGTAGGTAAGACGAAGTCTTGCTATCCTTGCCTCTAAGGAGCACTCTGGCCTTCTCCCAGTAGGTAGGAACAGAAACGTGACAGCTAAATGGAGTTGGTGCTGGTCAGGGCCTTGTGCCCAGTAGATACTCCATGTAGTGGTGTAGATTATTGGATGGACAGAACCAAAGCTTGGAGTCCTACAAGAGGCCTGGGAACTTGGGGTGAGGATAGGCCAACGTGGCCTGGTGAGAGCAGGTCAGTGCGGTGGAAATGACACTGGGTGAAGACAAGGGACCCGGGTACCATTCCTAGTTCTGATCCTAATTGATGTGCGTACCTCTTCCATTACTCTCCTCTGGACTCTCAGTTTCCCCATCGATGAAAGCCAAGGTTGGACCCAGTGGTTTCCAATGTTTCTCTCTGCTCTAGATTATCAGCCGAGGGACGTGTTTGCTCTTGGGGGCAGGCGCAGGAGACCGGGAAGTGATGGGGAAGGAGGGTTTGGGACCCTGAGTCACAGCCTCATCTCCTGGGGAGCCGTGGGTCTGAGCTGCCCCATGTTTGCTCTTATCCCAGTGGGAAGAGATCAGCGGTGTGGACGAGCACGACAGGCCCATCCGCACGTACCAAGTGTGCAACGTGCTGGAGCCCAACCAGGACAACTGGCTGCAGACGGGTTGGATCAGCCGCGGCCGTGGACAGCGCATCTTCGTGGAACTGCAGTTCACGCTGCGCGACTGCGGCAGCATCCCCGGCGCCGCGGGCACCTGCAAGGAAACCTTCAACGTCTACTACCTGGAGACCGAGGCCGATCTAGGCCGTGGACGTCCCCACCCGGGCGGCAGCCGGCCCCACAAAATCGACACAATCGCCGCGGACGAGAGCTTCACGCAGGGCGACCTGGGCGAGCGCAAGATGAAGCTGAACACAGAGGTGCGCGAGATTGGCCCGCTCAGCCGGCGGGGCTTCCACCTGGCCTTCCAGGACGTGGGCGCCTGCGTGGCGCTGGTCTCTGTGCGCGTCTACTATAAGCAATGCCGAGCCACCGTGCGAGGCCTGGCCGCCTTTCCAGCCACTGCGGCCGAGGGCGCCTTCTCCACTCTGGTGGAGGTGACCGGAACGTGCGTGGCACATTCGGAAGGGGAGCCCGGTAGCCCCCCGCGTATGCACTGCGGTGCCGATGGTGAGTGGCTGGTGCCTGTGGGCCGCTGCAGCTGCAGTGCGGGATTCCAGGAGCATGGCGACATCTGCGAAGGTATGGAGCCAGCTGGGGCGCGCGTGGGCTGGGAGTGTAGCGGGCAGTAGAGCCGTGAGGCTGGCAGGGGCCGGGGAGAAGCCTTTGAGCTCTGGAGCTGGGAGTCCTGGCCTTGCCTGGAGCTTCCAGAGGGTTTAGCCAAGACCGATATGGATGGTTACAAGGAGGTGAATTTAGCTTAATATAAGGGGCAATGGAGACCTGTTCTTCAGATAAGCATCTCCTACAAGACTTCTTTGTTTTCACAGCAATATAGTGAGTGATCACTATCCCCTTTCCACAGATGAGCAAACAGAGGACCAGAGAGCGCAATCCCTCACTGACAAAGTTAGGTAGTGGGGAGCCAGGATTTGAATCCAGGTTTGCCCAAGTCTCAAGTCTTTCTCCTACACCATACTGCCTCCCCTAACCACCAGGAAGAACTCTTAGACGGCCCAGGTTGTGGACCGGTGGGATTGATTGCATCATAGGCAGGGAGCACCCCACTATTGGAAAAATATCCTCATCTGCCACCGGAAGAAGGAATTCTTTAGCTCAAGAGAGATTGGGAGGTGGCATACACTTGACGGCTAACATCCCACCCAAGTCCCCTTACACTGGAATCGCTGTGCCCTGGGATAGGCTGGGATGGGCTGGAGGGAGACCTTCATGTTGACTGTTCTGTTGGGGCTGTGGGGAACTGAGGACCCATAGCTCAGGAGCCTGGGGTTATGATGAGGGCACTTCATGTAGGATGATCAAACGATCTGTTCTCTAAGCCGGATCCCTCTCCGGGTACCAGGGCAACAGAAATGAATCAGACCCAGTTCCAGCTCCCGAGAAGCTCACAGTAGCTGCAGAGATGTGAAAGTTTCAGTCACAGAAGGGTGATATCTGCTTGAACTAGAGGGAGAGACAGAGCGGTGGGAAGACAGAGGAGGAGGTAACAAAACTGGATCACACACACCCCCTTTTTTTCAATCATTCATTCAACATGAATGGAAGACCTACCATCTGCACCTCCTGGTGATTCATTGCCGTTAAATAGATGGATGTCCCTATCTTTCCTCCGGGGACTCAGACACGAACATTCCTGGCCTCTCCAGGTAGGGGTGGGACTCTGCAATACTGGTTGCACTCACTAAAATTGCACTTGCCCCGTGGCATTGCAGTGGTTTACCCACGTGTGCTTCCACGACCAGGCTAGGAACTTCTTGAGCTCAAGCACTGGGTCATATTCATTTCTGCAGCCCCAGTGCCCGTGACAGGAGTTGATGTTTAGTAGGCTCTCTGTGAAGATGGACAAGGTGAACAGGTGGTCACCGTAGGGTGTGACGAGTGTGAACAGAGACCTGACTCTTAGGGAAGGAAGAACCCAATATTAAGGGCAGAGAGGACTTTCCAGAGTTGGTGAGAAGGCTTCTTCTACGGTTTCTGGGCACCTGGGAGCCTCCTGAGCTTAGGGATGTGTGCAACACACTGTAGTTGCAGGCGAGGGAGCCCACTTGGTTGGAGCAGAGGGAAAGCCCAGGGGAGAGAAGTAAGTGGGCTGGAGAGAGGCAGGAGCAAACGATGAAGGGCTGTGAGTGCTGGAATCAAGGGTTTCATCTGTATGCCTCAGCCCGGTGGAGAAGATCCGAAGCAGAGATCCAACCTACTAATATTTGTATTTTCAAAAGATCACTCTATATGAAATTGCAAAAAAAAAAAAAAAAGAATCAGAGGGGAAGAATGAGCAGTTAGAAGACCAGGAAAGAAGCTGATGTCATAGTGCGGGGTGATGAGCATGGAGCCTGAGCTAAGGCAGCAGCAGCGCTCCTCCCGATCTGGAATAAAATAGAATCCACAGCACTTGGTGACCCTGACATGCAGGAAGAGAACGAAGTCCTCTTTGATTGCTCTGCTTTTAGGGGATTGAGTGGACCAGAGGGGTCATTCACTAGGGTGGGGAACACAAGAGGGACATGCTGAACGTATGGTGTTCAGGGCATGATCAAGTGGATAGAGCTAGAAAGTGGGCCTGGAACTCGGGAAAGAGGTCTGGCCTTGTGGTTAGGTAGCCAGCAACACAGATACTACTTGACACTGTGGGTGTGGTTGGGACAGCCCAGGGAGAGTGTGTGGAGAGAGAGGGCCAATGATGAAATCTCACAGAAAAGCAGTGCCTCACGGGAAGACAGGAGAAAGGAGTCTGTAAGAAAAACAAGGAGGGGGCGGTCTGAGGTTGGAGGAGAATCAGAAGAGTGTGACAGCGTGGCAGCCAAGGGAGCGAACGGAATGACCGACCAGGTCGGTGAGTCATCAGGTAAGACTCGGATTAGAAAATGTCCACTTGTTGGCTTTGGTGAGAGCAGTTTCAGTTGAGTGGTGGGGAGAGACGCTTGGTTGCAGGAGGTTAAGGGATGTGGGAAATTGAAGTGCAGGATCAGGGAATATAAACAACTCTCTAGAAGCCTGTATTTGAAAGAGGAGACAGGGTAGTCACCTGAGAAGGATGTTGGGTTGAGAAAAGATTGCTGTTGCAGATGGGAGAGGCTTGCTTATATGGTGAAGGGAAGGAGCCAGTGGGACGGAGACCAAGTGGGGGTGGTGGGAGTGGCCGGCCCCAGTAGGAGCAAGTATTTTATCACTAATGTCATGTAGCATTGCTGGCACATGTTGCCAATAATAATAATAAACCACCAACTCATAGCTTACATCTAAAATGGATCCTCTTCCGCTACTCCACTCCCTTGGCATCTCACCAGAACAGCCGGTAGAGGAGAGGAGGTATAAGATACAAGAGGGGAGACGGTTAATGGAAGGCACGCTTTCCAGAAGCGAAAAGGCTCTAGCATGGTAATGGAAGGGCTAGCCTTCAACCAGAGGTGGCTCATCCCCTACTTTAGAGCTAGACGGTAGGAGAGGGACGATGGGTAAGAGGTGGAATAGAGGCAGATTGGATGGGCAGCTGCAGAAGAGATTACCACCAGATGGCCTCTCTTCTTCCTGTGAGGTAGGAGGGAGGGCATCGACACCATTGGACAGTCAGAGTCTGGTCTGACTGTATTGTATTCCATGGTGGATCTCTAGAGCCTAGAGCAAAGGCTCTTAGTAGATGCTAAAAATAGATTTGCTGAATGAGTGGATCAGGGGCAGGAGGGAGACTTGGTCTATTGTCTGTGAAGTGAGAAAGAGTTGCTCAGGAGCCCAGTGCCACTGCTAACTAACTTGTGCTGAGCTCCCTTCCCCAGGCTGAGGCGGGACAAAAGCTATGGGTAGAGAACTCAAGAGGTGAGTGGGCATGCTGAACCTGGCGTTCAGGGTACATCCAGGTGGGTCTGGCCTTGTGGCTGGGTAACCAGCACCACACTATTTGGAGGAAGGGCCTCAACTTTGCTCTGGGGAGAGGGAGCTGAGAGGAATGCTGGGAAGAGCGTCACAGAAGAGTGTTATTAACCTGGGTTTGAAGAAGCATAGGAATTTGCCAGGAGAGAAAGGATACAAGGCAGTATAGGACAAGACCCAGAGGCGTCGAAGGGATTGCTCAGTGTGGCAGGGGAAGCAGCGGGGAGGACCATAAGGAGGGAAGTGAGATGTCCACACTTGTATTGACAAAATGAAGGCTTCCCAGTGCTTTCTCCAGGGACGCAGACTCCTTCCTCTTCCAAGGGAGGCGAACATGGTGGAGAGGATAAAGCTAAGACCTCCTTTTCCCATGTTTGCTCTTCTCTTTAGTGAACATAGGAGCCTTGGTGGTGCTGTTGCGTAAGCGTTGGACTGCTAATCACAAAGTTGGCAGTTCAAATCCACCAGTGACTCTGCAGGAGAAAGACGAGGCTGTCTGCTCCCATAGAGATTTACAGCCTCGGAAACCCTATATAGGATACCTGTGAGTTAGACTTGACTCAAAGGCAGTGAGGTGTGTGTGTGTGTGTGTGTGTACATGATTCCCATTGCTTCCCTCCCCCAAACTGGAGGAATTGTGGAAAGAATTAAGGGTGTTTCTTTGGGGGGGATGAGGACAAATCTACTGAGCTGCCCTGGAGCAGAGGGAGTCAAGCTGATCTGTTGTTCTCTGAGGTTCCAGAATGTACAGCGAGAGCCTGCGATGGAGGGGGAGAAGGAGAGTTTCAAATATGAATGTGGATGTGGGCTCCACAAGGAGCAATTCCTAAATGCTGTTACTCCCATCTGACGGAGGGGTCCTGGGGGCCAGAAGGCATAGGAGTGTCAGAGCTACCACTGGCCCCCAGGACTTCTGAGTCCCCCGCAGGACCCGTGCTGTCAGCTGACCTCCTGCGGTGTTCCAAAGGCAGAGACAGCTAAAGGCTCCTGGCTGCTGAGGCCCTCCCCAAAGTTGCCAAACCTAATCCTCCCAGACAAAAGGAAGTCCTCAGCCCACTGATCTCCATCCCCCTTGTGGCGCTGTCTTCTCAGAGCTGGAGAGCAGCCACTCTGCCTTCAGCAGCTGAACTAGAGGGGAGGAACAGAGAAGTCCTGCCAGGTGGGAACAACCCAAACTTTGAGGGGAGGGGCTGTGAGCCATTGCCTTCCTTCCTGGCCCAGCTGGGTGTTTAAAGTGGGTGTTCGGCAGTTTCTACTTCAGGCCTGTGAGGGAGGAACAATAATTACTACCATTATTGTGTAAATGTGGTAGGCACCGGGCTAAGCAGCTTGCATGTTTCATAGAAGTTCGTCCTGCAAAAACCTTTAGCTAAGGGTGGGTGCTTTATACTAGAGGCAACTGAAACTCAGAGAGGTCAACCCACTTGCCCCAGGCCACTCAGCAAATAAATAAGCAACTCAGCCACAGAGTCAGGTCGCTCAGCTATAAAAAGGCTGTGTTCTTCACAACTGTTCCAGGTGGGACAGTGGGACCCAGAGATGGCAGAACGACAACCGGTCTGACTCACAGCCCAGGAACACTCATCCTCCTCCTTCTCTGGTGGGAGGCTTAGGCACATTTACCCCCAAATGGTGGTGATGGTGGGAGGGTGAGCTTTGAAAGCAGCGTGTGTGCGTGCACGAGAGCATCTCCGAGTGTATGTCTTGGTGCCCCTTGAGAGGACCTCCCTCAGAAAATGTCTTCACAAACTAGCAAGTTTGGCTTCAGGGCAGAGGGTGAACTGAGCTCCTATGGTTGCAATGGTGAGACTGTGGGATGTGCAATGTCTGCTTGGGTTCAAATCCCATCGTTTACTAGCTGTGGGGCGTTGGGCAAGTTGCTTGACCTCCCGGAGCCTTTGTGTCCTCATTTTAAAAATGCAGATAAAGTGCATACTTCACAGGTTGTTGGAAAGGTTAAATGAATGACAGCAAATGCACCCACATTCCTGATACCCAGTAAGCACTTAGTAACAGACAGAGTGTGAGTTGCACTTGACAGTGTTTACAGGCTCAGGTGCCCTGGTGACACAGTGGGTTAAGCATCCGACAGCTAACTGGTGGTTCCAAACCCATCAGCTTGTCCACTGGAAAAAGATGTGGCAGTCTGCTTCTATATAGATTACAGCTCTGGAAACCCCATGGGGACAGTTCTACTCTGTCCTACCCGGTCACCGTCCCAATGGCCTCCATGGGCATAGGTTTGGTGTGGATTTTAAGGGTTAGGTGTTATGCCGCGAGCTGCCATTGCCTGGAACTGTCCAGGCTCGAAATTCCAGAGGATAAATCTCACCTAAGGACAGTGGGCAGGAAAGTTAGGGGGTTGGGGGTTGTCGTGTAGCTGGGGATGCTCTCCTTCCACTCACATGATCCCTCCCCATAGCCTGCCCTCCAGGGTTTTACAAGGTGTCCCCAAGGCGGCCCCTTTGCTCGCCTTGTCCTGAGCACAGTCGCGCTTTGGAAAACGCCTCCACGTTCTGCGTGTGCCATGAGAGCTATGCGCGCTCGCCCACCGACCCACCCTCCGCTTCCTGCACCCGTGAGTCCCAAGCCTGG